TAACAAAATTGAAAAAAGTGAAGGGGGTCTGAATACTTTCTGAATGCACTGTATATCATAAATATTGATTGATTATAAAGTTGTTAGCTTTGAATAACATTGAAAAATATATTACAGTACAGATATGATGAACTTATTGCACATATTCTATGATGTTCTTAAAGCTTTCTCCAGTGCATGACTCTATTGTTAAGGATTTTGTGATTGAAGGCCAAGTTTTAACTCAGAAAATTAAAATCGGTTTTAAAAGAATGTGATTCGGTACCTGCATTTATCTGGTTAAATAAATCCTGGTGGTTTCAGGAGTGAGGCAACTTTATGATTAGTACATGCCAAATAAGGTTACCACCAAGTTTTTCAAACTGGAAAACTAATTGCATACCTCCATCTTTTCTAGTGAGTTACATCTGACAAATTCTTTTATGCTACATAGGATGGCCTGGCAGTGCTTAACTCCAAATATGAAGTCATGTTGGCTTTTTAAGAAAAAATAATAATTACAGATTTTTTTTCCAGGATTTTATTAATCTGGGCTGATGTTTTCCTCATTTGTACTAAATATTACATTTCAAATGTGTTCAGTTGTACATTATATAATGCATTAACGATTGATGATTGATTATGTGCCATCAAGTTGTTTTTGACTCCTAGCGACCACATAGATAGATTTTCTCCATGATGATCTATCCCTAACTTGTTCTTTCAAGTCTCCCAACAGTGCACTCAATATACAGATTTAAATTTCAAAAGTGAATGCTGTCTAGTGATGCATTCCTTTTATCATAGATTTGACCCAGTGTAATCTTGGTGCCAAAGTTTGTGCTATATTATTTCTTAGACAGATTGCCATTTCTTTGCTTGAATGTCCAATGTATATTGTATAAGTATTCTTTTATTTGGAGGAAAATCTATCATGAAGTTTTTTGGCACAATCTATTGGAAATGATAGAAATCTGCAATATCACATGGGTTAATTTGAATTGTACTCTGGGGTAAATTATGCTGTGAATTCTTTTGAAGATAATTGAATAAGGAAGTGGGCAGAACTCAGCCCTAATAACCTCGCAGATCTGATTCTCTAGAGACTGGACTTTACCAGCCAGTACGTTTATTTCAGTTCCTGCCAAATTATATAGCTTTCTGAGTCTTCAACAACTGCTCTACAAGGCCAGCTTTTGATTTCTGTTCATGGCTGCCACAACTCTTGATAGCAAACTCCAGAACCTAAATTTAAGATTGTTTCTCAAGCTGTGGCAGATAAAAAGGAAGTCAAAAGCAATAATACAACTGCTTCTTTGGGGCAAAGGGACACAGGTGCAGCTGAAATGTTTAATACCAACACAGCACACAAGCAAAAGAGCCAGGCTGCCACAACATCTATGAAGGTCTCTGAAAAAGTAAGTGTTACATCAAAAACCCTTTACCAATACATTCACCCAAATAGGTGTGATTTCAGGCTAAAGTGCTATGTAACAAAGAATAAACTGTCTGTACTTTTTCTGCTTCTCATGAAGAGAGAAAGTAGAGTTTGACTCTGAGAGTATCTCTTGACCAGTAGCAGACAGGACTAGGTGATTTGCAGAAGATACTGTAATGTTAATGTTAATTTTCAAGCACTTTGATATCTGAACAGCCTATGAATATTATCTTGCTCTGCACTGAAAATGCAATAGGTCTTTAAGAGCACTTAAGTATGCTCCATGCTTATCCATCACAGACTAACAAACTGTTGTTGTCCTTTCCAAAAGCATGCCCAGAAATAGTGCTCTCTGGATCTCCAGGGAAGGATCTTCATTGAAGTGGGAATAAATGAATTAGTCTTGAAGGAGCTACAAGACCCTTTATTGTATTTGCTGCAAAAAAACCCTAACATAGCTGGTCTTCTGGAAATTCTTCTTTGTGATTTGAGGCTTTACCTGCAAAAAGTCATTGTAATAAAAGTGTAGCAAACTTCATCTGTGACAATTCTCACATTCTAGCTCTCCTTGCAAGCCAAACTCATGCCTCCCTCCATCGTCACTCAAATTTACCTTCTGCACATCCAAGTCTTTTATGCATTGAAGCAGGCATGATAATAGTTTTGCCAGATGTTGTTAGTCTCTTGGTTGTTTTTTGCTCTAACAGTCTAACTAGATATAGTAGCTCACGGAAAACCAACCCTTGACAGAGAAGGGAAATATGGAACAAGAGAATGAACGCTATTCCTGCCAGTCCTTCCTTCGTCAGCTATTCCTGTTCGTCATCTGAAAACAGACAAAAGCAGAATGATAAGGAGCTGCCTTGTCTGGTTCTCAGAGAGCTCCCCTCCAGCATGCAGCATCCCCTCGCTCTCTCCTGCAGAACTTTGCGCTTGTTTAGGCATCTTGCTCAGCCGTTCCAAAGGCACTGCAAAAGCACCAAGAGAAGAACTCAGCAGCTTGGCAGGCTCTGCCGCTCGGAAACTTTGCAATGCAGGAGACAGTGCCCACCATTGTGCTGCCCTTCTGCAATGGATGGGAGTAAAATAAGCTTGAATGAGTGACTCACTTCAGGGGTACATTGATGTTTACATTTGCCATGCACGACTTTGCATATTTTCTTTGGAGGCCTAATTTCAGTCACCATGAAAGTAACTTCTCTTTTTATACTGTTTTCTTTCACCAGATAGATCTCACTTCTTCATCCATACATTCAGACTAGCACAGCTTTTCCCTCTAGACATTTTCTCTCTAGAGGCTTCCCTTCAACCCAGTCACGGATTTCAGCAGTTCCGTCTCTCACGCATTTGTCTGGGTGAACATCCACAGAACCAAAATCCAGCCTATAAATGCTTTATATGTTTTGGATATCCATCCTCCTCCTCTAAGAATTCTCTTAGCCAACTGCTTAAGTTATGTTTTTGGTTTTGCTTTTTGTCCCTTATGATGCTGTTGGGATTTTTTATTATTTTGCACGGGCAGGTTTATTCTTATTCAGGGTTTTTTTAAAGTTGTTTTTGATTAGTAGGTGGTCAGAGCCTTCAGGAATGTGTGGCATCAAATATAGTAAGTAAATGAATCAATATAGATATCGCATTGAAAACAGATAGGAACTAAAATTTCAAGAAATGTTCTAAAAATCAGCACAGAGAAGTATATCAGAAAACATACTATCGAAGTATGTTTTTTCTTGACTAATAGACTGCCTATTACAGTAATACATACCAGAGAATCATACACCAAATGTATGCATAGTTTTAGCATAAGCAGCATAATGAAGGAATGACACAGGAATTGGAAATTGAATCTCCTGAACCTTATTTTTACTCTCAATAATGGGTTGCGAACTGGATCAGAATGTGACCACGGGGAGGCTGGGCCTGGCAGTCTTGCCCTGAATTGTCCGGTTGAATATAGTCCTGTTCCAGTCAGCATCCCTGTTGCAAACACAAAAGGCTCCCAGAAAGGAAAGCTGCTGCTCCTCACCTCCTTTGGGTCTTCAACCTTTGCATATTAATCCCCACTGGCCAGGAAAAAGATAGCTCCAATATTCTTTATCATCCTAGCTAACTCAGCAGGTCAGGTAATATCAATGGGTGCAATACTATTGAATCAGGAAACCTGAATGAGGAACTGAGTTTATGAAATGATTGATTTGATTTGGTTACAGTAGTCTACTTTATCACACTGGATTTTATGTGTTTTACTGCCTTTTCTCCTTTTCTTTTCTTTTTTTTTCTTTTAATAAACATTTACTCATAACTGGAGTTGGAGCAGGGGATTTTATCTTTAAAGGACTGTTCCTCTAATATATTTAGGTTGAATTTAGCTAACTTGCCTAAGAGGAGGTTAAATGAATGCTGGCTGGATGGCTCCCTTACTCCCAGTGGCTTAGTTTGTTGCAGCCTTAGAGATTCCCTTCTCCTGGGATCAGAGAAAAGGGATAGGTGGCAACAGATCTCCATGTTAAATCTTGTGGCTACTGGCCGAGCTTACAAGGAAGTCAGGGGATGAGAAGTTATTTAGGGATGGACAGCATTTTGGTGATTGGGAACAAAGGTCTCATTTTGCCAAGTGAACAGTACTTTCTGACTATTTTCCTGGTGTTATCGTTTTTAAAAACTATATCAAACCAGCTATATGACTGAAGGTACTGTTTCTATTTTTTCCCTTCCTCAAAATGGTGGAAAATTGTATAGCGATTTCATCTAAATGTGAAATTCTGTACGATGAAAAAATATAACGAAAGAGAGATGGGCTTTTCAAAGCTGACCTATTTAATTTAAAATCTTTAAAGAGGAGGAATATGAAAGTGGAATCCATGCATTTTTTAGGTTACTCTTCAGCCACTACATACAAAATTATTGCAACTAATAAACATTAATCCTATAACTAGTATTTATTTAATGCTTTTGTGTGTGTGCGTATTCATTCCAATCTTAAACTACATCTATCTGTAAAATTATAGTAATGGGGATCAAGACTAACATGCATTTTCTTGTGGCCTGGGCACTCAGGTTATTTGAAATCAGAAATGCTGAATTACTTCATTAAATACTGAGAATTTGTATGTGAACTTTTTGTGCACTTAATATTCTTAAAATTGTGGTATCCTTTCTGAAAATTGTGTGTGTGAATGTGTTAAACAAACATCTTTGCATGAAGCTCTATCCCCTGTACTTGTGTTTCTTCAGCAAAATGGAAATATGCTAGTTTCCCAAGCAGAATATAAGACTAATTCCTTTTATTACTGTGACAGTTTGATGGTTCCCACTTCTATTTAACAAATCAAAACAGGAATAAAGATTTAGCTGATAAAATTAAATCATACACACATCAGTCCTCAAAATAGGCAACTTGCTGAAATGCCTTTGAAATGGCTCCAGAGACTGAACAGTTGAATTGATAAAACTGAGAAATCAAATGTTGCCTTTTAGGAATAAATCCATTCTTCTCCAATGGAGACTTCTTTAAAGTGTATCTGTTTATGAGATTTAAAATAATTATAAAGAATAATTAGGTTATATTTTTGGTTTCTTTCAGGGATGATGGTGGTGATCGTCTTATTGCTGATTGCTATTGTGGTTGTTGCTGTGTGGCCTACGAAGTAATCAGAGGTTATCTCATTTTGCAACTAAGTGTTAATTGCAGTCTGTGGCAAGGACAACTCCACCTCCTTGTTGGCACTCTCTATGGATGCAGCTATACTCACTCCATTCCAAGAGGCAGATCCATGGCCAAGCTGCACAAAGGTTTTGCAAAATTCTGTATAAAACTTTGTATACTCAAGAACATAACTGGAAAAGAAATGACTCACCTAATAAACTTCAAGGCATAAATATAATTAATTTCAAAGAAATACTTTTTGTCTATAAATGCTTTTAAGAGTACTAAATGGATTTTTCTCTTAATCTCTACAGTGTCTAATTAAAATATTAGCATTTTTTTTCTAACATTAGTTCCTTGTAGCTGAAATATATGCTTCTTCATGAGAGAATTTCAGTGATTCAAGAGAAACTGCCATCTTTGAAGTAAGAGCAAGGGTGCACATAGATTTGCTGGCATCTTTCAAATTAAAAAAAAAAATCCACAAAATCTTTGACTTGAGTCAGAGGGCAATTACTGTTGTAAGATAGTAGCAACCAGAAATGTATTTTGGAATTAAAAGATGAAGGTTCTGTCCAAAAATTGAACATATTATATTATACCTGGGTTTCTTTTCTTTACTTAGTTATATTAATAGCAGGGAAGAAAAGGAATTACTGTAGATACACAGAATTTCAAAATGTATTGTTTCCATATTTGTTCTGAAAGTAGACGAGAATGATTCTCAGCAGAATTGGCAGGGAAGTGAATCTCCTTCTGTAACTTACCTTGAACACTCAAAATCTACATTGAAGCATTAGCAGAGCACATTTGGGAGGATGAGGGCTGCAAGGGAGAGAAGGAAGTCCTATTGCATGAACATCTTTGTGTTTATGCAGCAATGGATTAAACCCCTATATTAATTCATGTTCAGATATTGTTATTTTTGCTATGTATGTATTGACATAATGGATAGCAAAGTAGTAAGACTGAATAGAAGCCATTATAGTTCTATAGGATTACTTTCTTTACCTTCTTGAATATCTAGGATTAATGACATTCTAGACCATGTAGAATATGGGCTAGAATGTCATTATGCTGAATAATTCAGATTGGGGGAAATGTGCTATGAGATCAGTAGGTTTCAGAAGAAAACTATATTAAGAGCTTTATGTACATATCTAGTAAATGGCTGAAAGCTGTTGTGTAAACTCTTTTGTGTTATTTACTATTCCAGAGTATCTGGTCTTTCCCATGTTTGACTGAATAGAATTGATCATCCACTATTGAATATGATAATGTTTGGTTAAAATCAAGATATTAATTGGGAAGAGAGGATAAAAATCTGCAAATGGAATGTTTGACCAACTGATATCAAAGGCTACTTTCTCTCTTGCCAGAGGTATTCACCATAGGGTACCCATCATAAGAAGTTGCCTTTCAGTAGTACAAACAAAAAGGCAAACTATCATACTATAATCAATTATGTTAGACATGGATATGCTTGGTAATATTGATTAAAGCAATGTAACTTTAAAGTTACATTGTAATATTGATTAAAGCAATGTGAACTGTAGATCACATTCTGAACCTGCTAATAGATGAAAATTCTATTTTAGGATATATTAATAGCAATAGAGTCCAGATCCCAGGAAATAAATGTCTCACTCTACTTTTCTTGGTCATTTTCCACTTGGAAAAGTATGTCCAGTGACAAACTGGAGTGAATTCAGAGGAGGCTACAAAGATAGTTAGGGAACTGAAAACCAAGTCCTGTGAGGAACAGTTAAAGGAACTGGGTTTGTGTAATCTGCAGAAAAGAGGACCATGGGGCGATATGATACTAGTCTCCAGATATCAGAAGAGTTATCATTAAAGAGGAAGGAGTGGACTTGTTTTTCTGGAGGGCAAGACCAGTGGGTGGAAATTACAGGATTGAAGAAGAAAAAAAAAAGATTCAGGTTAGATATAGGAGGAATTTCCTGATGGTCAGAACTCTCAATTGATGGCATTGGTTGCCTCATGCAGCAGTACAGTTTCCTTCAACAGAAGTCTTCAAACAATCTGGATTTGTCCAAAATTCTTTAGCAGATCCTGCACTGAGTCAGAGGGTTAGACTAGGTGGCCTATAAGGTCTTTCACAACTCTATGAGTCTATGGTGAAAGTGAACGAGTCAGTGTGAGCAGCTCCCTTTTTACTGAAAGGTAACAAGATCACTTTTCTACTGAAGGATTACTGGTCACTTCAGTTTAGGTTTTCATTATCACTGGAGCAATTCACTTCTGAAGCTGGACCAGGTCAAACTTTTCTGAATTCATGATTCCATGTGCATGTTCTTCTAAGGAGAGATGGAGCAAACCAGATCTTTGCCTGGTTTGGAGGCTGATAAAATTGTTAGTAATGAAAAGGGATCAGAGTGACTTGATAGCTTATAGTTAAATCAAGCACATGAAAGTTTTGGCTTATCTTCTGATCTTCAGTTAAAATAATACTACTTTCCCAAGAGAAGTAGTCCTCCTTGGAGAGAGGTTTTCAAAACAGTCTTCTTACTGTGATGTGTGCCTTCTCAATGTTGAAAAGAAATAATGCATTTTATGGTTGGAATATTTTTATGACGGCATGATAGATTTGTTATAAAATATTTAACATTTATTGGTTTTTGAAATTATGTATGTAAAGCTTTCAGATATTTTCACATCTTCACATATTTTATATTCATCTTTATAACAATTCAGTAAATTTAGCCAAGCTGAGGGAAAAGCAGCTGAGTCGCCTCTGGTGAAATGAATTTTGAACGGAAGACTTTCTAGATTTTTGCTTGCAGAATTGGGAAACACAGTGCCCAGTTAATACGAACTGGCATATATGTCATATGGAGATAATGTTGTGTGAGCTGGACTCTTTTCCTCAGATCAAATAAATTGTGTTTTTCAACTTAAATTATGTATTGGAAGAACAGATAAATCCTAATGAACTTATGCAAGCAGATTGTTTATACATATTGGAGTTACCACAGAAGCAGAGTTTGGTACAGTTTGGATGATATGCTTGATAGAATCTCCACTTCTCATCTAATTAGAGGAAACAATTGCAAATAAATAATTGGCTAGCTGTTTTCAGGAGAGGAGCTCATGTTCCCTCAAAGCTGAAAAGGATTGCTTTGTTCATTCTGATGCAACAGAAGAGGCTGTCATGAGTAGAGGTTTATAAGGGTTTATTTGACAGATGTCTGGATTTAGTCTTATCAAGTGGATTCTGCACTGTTACATGCTCCATCTGGTTCATTATATCATCCCATCTAACAAATGAAGGTAAATGAAGGGTGGGTAAATAAGAAAATCCACAACTTTTTTTCCCACATGTCATTAAATATATTCATATATATATAACCATAATATATTAGTATGCATTGTAAAGAAACATTGTCGCAAAACTATATGCAAAGGTCATAACTAAGCAACATTTACAGTTCATAATTATTAACAGGAATAATCAGAACACAGGATTCTTATCCCTGTGCAATGAGGGGAAAAGTTAAGGCGATCAAGGGAACGACCATACAATGGACCAAGTAAAAATGGGAAGAAAGCTGTGTTACTTGTGAGTTGCAAGTGTCTGAAGATTTCAGTTGCTTCTCTGAATGGTTTATGTTGCATTTCTGTCCTGTTAACACAGAGCTTGGAATGTTCTCAAGAGTGCCTCAACATTAGAGATTATATCAGTAGTCTTGACAACCCCCTCCTATCAATTTCTTTAAAGCAGGTGTAAGGCACCAGTTGGTTCTACTGCAGATACATACATCTCTTTGTATGTGTGCTAGTGGTACTTTTCCCATCTAGAAAAATAAGATGATTTCCTTATAATTAAAATGTGTGTCTTAAAATTGCAAAGTTGTCATAAACAATGCAAGGTTGCATTATTCTAGGTAGGAGTTTAGAAAGCTTTCCAGCTGTCTAAGCCATTACATTTGATAGAGTGCCCTTGCCCTATTCTAGGCCCATAAACTTTAGTTGTATTAGGGGTATCCTCTTGCGTAACTATTGGCCTTCAAATAAAATTACCAGCTCGAAAATATATGATGTGAATCTGGTTATATGCTGCCTCCTGAGAACACTTGATCATGTGGCAAGAATTATGCCTCTACCAATAAATAGCCTAAAGTATTGTGACAGTTTTTGTTTTATTCTTTTCTGTTTTTTTTAATTTGAAGCTGAAATGGTCTGTTAAATATAGGGAGGTATAGTTATGTATACGAAGCTATATTTACTGTATATAGAAGTACAGAACAAGCCCTTAATCATGTCAAGATAGACACTATTGAACAAACAAAAGGATTTTCTTACTACTTTAGGCAGAATCAGGATTGTTATAACATTTTCTAGAATATTATATTTTTGATTAATATACAGATTCGGCACCCTAGCTATTTTACATTTTGTACTAATTCTACAATCAGCCGTGATTTTTTTGTAGTTTCTTCTCCATTTGCTAGCTGATACCACTATCACCTTTCACAGCTTTTCAGAATATTTGTGTTATTATAGAAGGTAAGAGGTTTTTTAACTCTCTGAAAGGGATTAGGCACCATGATCATATATGTTTTATAAACATGTTGAATGATTATATAGTGGTTATGAATACTTCAAAAAGCAAACACAAATTGCCTCCCACATTTATGCATAGGATTGCAACTATGTTTGCTGCTTTGTAGTCAAAATGCTGGATCTGACAACAAAGGCACTGTCAAAAAAATATCTTACCAAGATTTGCAATCCAAACACCTTGTTAACCAGAGATGTTACCCATCTGTAAATCAAGATAGAGAGATTTACTTTCTTTTGACCTGCTGCTGATAGGCTTGGCCCTTTTTTCCCCAATTTGCCTTGAAATGTGTATACATTCAAGGGAAATCATTTCATCAGACTGCCCAACACATTACTTGAAACTTGAGGAACAATTTCTGTAGCATTTATATGAGTTCTATACATTACTAGCAAATCAGACAAAGTAGTGCACAAGCCCAGAAAAATGTGTCTTTTTTTTTTAAGATTTCAGGGAACTACGTAGCTTCTGACTTAACTCCAGTATTTCTGAGCTTGAATGTAATGGCCATTAATAATTCTAAAAATCTATGACCTGGTTAAACTTTATGTACTCTTGGTAATCTCTGTCTCTCACTCCAGCCATATGCTTTGCTAACAGTTCACCCTAATGCTGTTCTAGTTTTCTGGGCTACCTCACAACGCCAAAGAATCTTTAAAAAAAACAAACCAAGGCTTCTGTAAAGTCCTGACTTATCTTTAGTCAGCAGGATCTGTATGAAAAATAAATGGAGTCATACCAAAAGCCAAAAAAAAAAAAAAGAGCAAAGCCAAAAAAGCAAAAAGGTATGTTCAACCTCAGCAAAAATGACCCAAGTCTTTTGAAAAAAAGGATTACTAAATGGGGAAAGGTACCTCATCACTGCTACTAATCATTGGTCAGTCTGCATTTTGACTCTAAATGGGTGCCTTGTTTTCATACATCCTGGATACACAAAGTCCAATACAACACAGTGCAGAGCTTTTTCCTAGGACATGACCCAGGGGAGAGTTTTTCCACTAATTTAATGAACAATGGGTCAACTTTGTGTTTCGTGGTAAAATCTGGATCAGGCATCATTAAATTCCCTTTCTTTCACTTGCTGGTTTGTTCATTTCCCCCCCCCCCTATTCATTTCCAAGTTGCTCTCTGGATAGTGGATTCCCTGTTACTTTGTGCCAGAGTAAAAGCTTGGTATCACTGACCTTGAGTTCTCTGGCTTGGCTGCTAAAAACAATTGGGAGTCAACCTGTTGATCTTGGCTAGATTTGGAGGGATAGGTATAAAGTGCTCAACAGCTACAAGCTTACTATTCTTCCTCTGAGGAGCTTAAACTGCAGATGCTGATTATATTTATCTCTCATAGAGAAAGAGTGGTACTAGAGGTGGTTGATTCTTTCAGAGAATGCAACCTGAAAAAACTATAAATATAGACCTAGTTTAAATGAGGACAATCCAAAAGGAAACCAGTTTTAATTAGTTCAAACCCATATTTAGAAACCACTATCAATTCTTGAAGGCAGTGTGCCTCTCTGAGAATAGTGTTTAGCCTTTTTTGTCTTGTCACTCCATCATAGCTATCAATATCACATTTCCATGGTTTTGACAACATCTTGCCATTTTCTGCAATAATGTATCATGGTTAAGGTTACTTTAAGTTTTGGTCACCTGTCTATGTGGATGACATGAGTTGCCAATCATAATTTCTGTGTGTCTGAAACTGGTGTTTTTGCACACATTAGAGGCATCCAGCCTGCTTTTACACAATATTCCTTAATTTTCTGGTTGCAACTACTGTACATGGTTTGTGTGTGCATATATGTGTGTATGTATATACATGCATGCATACATCATTAATCTTGCAAACCTAAGGCAGGAGTTTGAGCAAAAATAGCAGAGGATTTCAGCTGGTATTCCTAGGAATACTACAATGACCTAGAAAACGTTAAACTTATCGAAGTTTAATTTTGATAAATTCAGTTATGCTGGATATCATCCTCATATGATGAACAAGCTGAGAATAGAAAGTGGAGATGTTTTACTGAGGTTAATCCAAAAAGCCCCAGCTAAACTGCACATAAGGGGCCTCTATTATCATGAACATCCCTCAGCAGGCAAATCAATATTGGAAATTATAAAATCTTTGAAAGCCACATACTTCCTAAGAGGCATGTTTTGGAATGTATGGACTTTGATCTGATCTCCATGATGAGTTGGTAAAATGGGCTGTATCAGAAAGTGGGATGGGAGAGCGCCATTTTTTAATATTGCCCAATGCGTAACATTTCTTGCAAGGAATAGAATTCAAGAGGGAAATCATAGCCATGTATTATGGAGTGAAGTGCCCACAATGTAAATTCCCATCTCAGTTGGTAACACCCATTCTACTATTTAAATGTGAAATTGATATTTATTTTCATTCCCATTGTTTTATACACTGAGCCATTTTTCTGCTTTCCCAAAAGGTAAATAAAATCCCTTCTGGGTTCAAAATTAGAATTGATGTGAACTGTGTTGACACAGACACCAATGCTGGGGGGAATGTTCCATGTATTTTTTTGTCAGCAATTCAGCTCATAGAAAAAGGAGTCCAGAAGTTTTTGCAAGTGTGCAAAGTGGCTAAGCCAGTGTATTTTCCTCCTTCCTGGGAGCAAGGTCTCCTGTTCCCCATACCATCTATTTCCATGGCATCTGGCCACTTTACAATTATCTGTGCTGAAGTTTATTTTATGATAGTTTTTGTCATATATATAAATATTGTCAGTGACTATAAAACAAGGCAAAACCACTGGAAAATTTCATTAAGAGGATGCTTCCAAGTTTCCTAATAAGAAACATGGGGAAGTTTGTGTTTTGCAGGACAGGCATCCCTGAGCTTATACATGAACTGCCTACCCAGACAGCCCTCCTGGTTTGCTTGTAGGAGAAGTGGAGATTGTATGAACATAAAGCTCACTTCTTGTGAACATAATATAGAAGAGAATGCCCACTGCCAACTTTTCTGTTTAAAGAAGAACAGAGAATTTCTGTAGGAGAAATGTGATAGGATGATTCCCTCATTCTAAATTATAGTCAGTCCCAAAATTTACAAGTAAGAAATTAAACCTACATATAGTAAGCTCTTAAAAACAGAAGGATTAATCAGCGATGACTCTTTTTTTATCCTTATAAGCAGTGGTAAGACTTCTATGATTCTTTCCCCCTTCTCTTCATCCATGCAAAGAGGTAAGATAAAATCTTGATAAATTCAGCCAGCACATAAGATTATGTGCAATTCAGAAACTTGTCTGATAGAGACAGCAGCATTATAGGAGTCTTACATGAGATATTAATGACCACAATGGACACTAATGTGGAGAGATGGCATTTCATTGCACACTTTCAGAATACATGCTCCCATGATCTGGCAGCTGAAGTATTCACACGGTGTTATCTCAAGAGAAAAATCAGTGTGGGATCTGTCCAATGTAACTTCTGCTTTCCGCACTTGAGATGATTATTGATTGTTTAAAAAGCAGCTATTATATTAAGACAGCATTTGCTTCATGTTCTGATGAATTCAGAAAGAAAAAGAAAACTGGTTATCTTTTGATGGAGTTGTGTTCACAAATGCAGCACTGCAAGAGGGTTTTTTAAAAAGCCAGGTCTGGTAATTGACCCTTCTTTCAGCTGAGTGTTGACTAGTGTGTTTCTAGGCATCAGTAGGTATCCATTATTCAACTGTTCCATAAATGCAGCCTTCTTCACAATTCTCATCTTTTTTTCTTTAGTACCAGATTGCATTTTTGATATGGACAGTAAGAATTTAGTTTAGTGTACATTTCACCCACCTGTGATTGCTCTTGTTTAGAATAGCTGGTATGTCAGAGCTTACAACCAAGCGTTCTCTCATGTGCTGGCCCAGTCTGTAAGTTGCTGTGTGACAGATGATAGAAGAGACATCCAGCAGACTATCTACTGATTATGCAGTTATAGCCCCATAATCAATTTTAAGCCAATAGTCCCTTGCATCCATTCTTCCTACCAAGAGCAATCTGATTCAATTTCTTGCAAGTGGAGACATATTAAGAAGACAGTTTCTGTTCAGTATCATTCTTTTGTTGACTCTCAAGTTGCAGTGACAGGTTGGATGGTTCTTCTGTTTGGACTTGAGAAGTAGTTGATGTGGTGAATTTAAGGCAGTTCATCATCCTTCAGACCAAAATAATCTGAGCGTGAAAGAAGGAAATCAAATGGGAGGATGGGAAGTAGTAACTGATCTAACATTTGTTACTATGGTGAGTAGGGTCTTACATTAGTTTTCTCACTATTTTTTTGTCGGTTTTGTATTTATGAGGGGCAAAATGGGCATGACTCACAGGTTATTAATTCCTCACTTGTACTCCCCACCCAGTTGCATACAAATTGCAAAGTGAGTTTCTTGCCAGTGTCCCTAATCCCACCCCATCTGCTCCGACTCTGACACAAAAGGATGTGCAGTCTTTTCTTGTCTCTGATTCTCCTTCTAGGCTTTCTTGCACTTCCCCTTCTTTTCTCGTTGCTGGAACTTTCTCAGACGCCTGGCCCATGTGTCCCTCCACTGTATCACAAGGCTGCTTTTGTCTGCTACAATGCCATTCTGATCTGGAGAGTTCTCATCATGGCCCAGTAACAAATATTTCTTCATAGGCTTGATCTTGGGACACTTGCAGGCAATGTCCTTGGAGCGTATCCAGAGGATCTGGTCACCACGCCGTATCCGATTCGTCCCTTGCTTGTACACAGAGATGATATTGACTGTGAACTTCCACCATTCTGCAGCTTTATCTGCTTTCAGGATGTGGATCTGGACAGCTGGAGACAGAAAGTCAGGAGAAGATCGTTTGTTTAATGCATTTTGCATTTTTCTTCAATATAGTCAAGTACAAGTTACAGTGAAAAGCAAGATTTGCATGTGTTCACACATCACACAGAAATGTAATGTGATTTGTGTTAGGATTTTGTATGACCCTAATGTTTAATTCATTATGCTTGGCTGAGGGCCATACATTCAGTTTAAAATGAAAAGTAGAGCTTACTTTAGGATGCTTGTACTGAATCAATCATTCAATCAATCCAGGTTGTTTTTTAAAAAAGAGTAGCTCTTTTTTAAATTAGTTATTATGTGTGTATTCCCATTTTTAAACAGAGATTATCTTTTCTTGATTAGACCATTGTAGTCTGGATATAATCTTTGACACTAGTGTTCACACAGCATGCTTAACCAGGTCATTTATAAATCTACAACATATTTAAAATGAATAGTTTTAACTGTTGTCTGTGGTATGGGCTTTTTTTGGGGGGGGGTGTCTTAGCAGGTTGTTCAGACCTAGATTATTTGGTTAGCTTATGGTTCAGTATGTTGCGTGCATCCCCAAAAGGGTTATTCACCAACCTATTTAATTATTTTGCTCTTATCTTCCAATGCTTACTGAAAATCTCAGAACACTTTTCTATAAATGGTTCAGTACTTCTACCTGGTTGCCCCAAGCAAACAATATGTGAGAATATTTGTTCTTCCCTTCATCATGCTATAGAGACTTTCCTTCCTACTTTTTGTTGTTGGGGATTGTGACCTCTATGATGGTGTCCTGCATGCCAAGCCTAACTATGATGGGAATAGTTTCCATGCTCCTTTTGCTGGTGGATTTGAGGCTTGCTATGAAATTGAGAGAGAGAAAGAGACAGAAATCAGACTGTTGTTTGGCCAATATGATGAAAGTGGCCATGGTAACAAAAGGCACCTCTTCCATTTTCAGCAAAGTTATGGGGTGGGGAGAAACAAAAATTCACCCAAGACTTTGCCACTGTTTGATTTCTTGGCCAATCATGAGCCAACATCTGAAAAGAATCTTTCTGCACTGTATTTTCACTGCCTCACCTTTTAACCAAATGCAACCTGCAAGAATGCAAAACTCAGTAGATTTGGTGAGATGAATAGGCTACCCTACCTTGTTCTGAGGAGAAGCTGATTGGAATCTTGAGAATTAAGAATTATGCAGAGTAAGGGGGAAGAAAAAACATCTAATGATCTAGTGAAATATGAGAGGGAAGAATTAATCCCAGACTAATCAAATAATCTCATATCTTCAACAGTATCAAAATTAAAACCAACCAACCAAGCCTGGAATCTAAAGAGTCAAGGAAATACTGTGAGATATTTCAGAATGGAATACTGTTATGGCTGTGTAATGATTTGGGGTTGAATTCAGATTGAACTGCATTTTGTGCCTGTGAGGATACTGCCGTTGTTGGGAGCGAACGTGGGCCTCCCCTAGACCTGAGACTGGCTTTCACTTTCATATTTCCTTGATGAGTGACAGGGGCATAAATATCATAAAGGCAGGGGAGGCAGCCAACCTGGGACCTGCAGGCCCAGGAGCTCCAGCCAGTCCCCAAAGGCTGCAGTCAATTGTAGGCCTTGCATGCTCTTAGAGGACCCTACTTTGCCTACGACAGCAGCACAGGTACAAGTCAAGCAGCAGGCAGGAGGGCTGACACGCAAACTGCCAGTGCTGCTCCACCGCACGAGAGCGCTCCATGTTCCCCATGCACTGCCACTGCTGCTCTGCCTCCGCAGAATGCCTTGCGTGCAGAAGCGCAAACAGACCGTTGCAGCTGCTGCCGATTGCCTGGAAGGCAGGTGAGGAAGGCCTGGACCACGTGGTAGACATGGATCCCAGAGAAGCTTCTCTTCCTCCCCCTACACCCGAGGGGAAGAAGCAGCCTGCAGAAGGGCAAGGAAGCTCTCATCTTGAGTAAGAGCAGCACCGCTTATCCTGAGCTGTCTTACCCACCCTCCTGGGTGCCTGCCAAGAGCTCAAAAAGAGGCATTTGCCTAAAAGAAAACTCCCAAGCTAGCTAGTTAACAGGGTTGAGAACCTCTCACAGCAGGGAAAAAGGGAAGCAGCCACCAGAGGCAGTAACTCCATCCGGTTCCATTCATTACAAAGTTTGTCCTTTGAGCCCGAAAGCTACCCCACTCCTGTCAAACAATCTCAAGCCAAGGGGATTAGCCTCCGTCCTGGCAGCAGGAAGAGTCCATTTGGGATGGCAACGGTGGGGGGGGGGGGGAGCAAATGAAGCAAGCGGCAGAGCCCCCATAAGTGGCTCCACAATGGTGCTGCTTTCCAGCAATTCTCCCCCCTCCCCAAGGGAGAGAGCCAAAGAAAATAAGCGATATTTTTTCTTGCCTGGGCCCCTGAGGACACTGACATACATGTTCAGCTTCTGGCTAAAAGTGCATAGTTTTGAGATGGTGAGCAGAGAAAGCAGGGGGGCCCATCCTCCTGCTGGCTTGCCAATTTTACTGTTCAAGTAAAATAGCAAGCAGCTCTAATGTTGGGGAACCCTTCTTCCTACGGTCAAACTTGCATTTCCCAGAACACCAACTGCATTCACAGCCTAGCGCAGGGGTCTGCAGTATTTTACTCAAGCAAAAGCTTTGGGGAAATGGATGGTTTATGAGTAGAAGAATAAGCAGAGTGCAAAGATGATTTGTTTCAGCTGAGAATAGCTTTCTCTCCAGAGAAAGGCCCTTATCAGTAAGAAATAGACAGGATAAGCATTTACACCAAATACTTATAGTCTGGGAAAGTGTTTTTGCTGTGGTCTTTATCATCTCTGATCTCCTTGCAAGATTTTTAAGGGGAGCTACTGGTGCTAAGGACTGAAGCATACCCAGTAAATATACTGCCCCCCAGCCATCTGGGGAATTCTGGGAGTTGAAGTCCACTCATCTTAAAGTGGCCAAGTTTGGACAACACTCATATACTGGGAGGAGATTGGGGCCACATCTGTTTATTAATGTGCTACTAACCAGCCACCAGATGGCACTATAGTATTATAGGCACTGAGAACATTGTGACACACTTCAGAGAGCACAAGCTACAGACATGCTTACCTATTGGGACAAAGTCCTTCTTAACTCGGGAGTTTGCTTGTAGATACCAAGGGGATTGCACTATAAATGGCTTGCATCTTCTCCGGCGTGCCACGCATTATATCATGTATAAATAAAAATGTTTAATGGGTTTTGTGGTGTGGGAGAAGCCACTCTGCCTTCAGAATGTTCTTTGCTGTATCTTTAAAATTTCAAAGATATAGCAAAATCCTTTACAATAGTAAAGGGAGAAAATGTTCTTTGAATACAAAATACGTGATCTCAGTCTTTGTATTCAATAAAGGGAACACTATCACTTCCAATAAATTCTAGGATTATTTTAAAAATCAAACTAAACCAAACCCTTGGTTTCAAAGGGGTATTCAGTAGAGTCATTGGGAATATCTTCCCATCCCTCCCAATGTGTACAGGCTTAAAGCTGTCTGGTTTAGTCCCTGCTGGTTCTTAGCAGCTATCTTAGCAGCTCCTGTTATTGGCATGCCTGGAGGTGCTGGGAGTCAGGCAGCATATCAATAATAATAATAATAATAATAATAATAATAATAATAATAATAATAATAATAATAATGATCATGATGCCTTCAGCCCCCTCTGTAGCAACAGTTGGTCATCATTAATTTTTAATCTTTGAAATGGGAACAGATTTATATGGTTTTCTTGTTTCATTTAAGGATGAGAAATCCCCAACATAGCTTTTGCAATGGTGTGATCCAGTCTGTCGCTCCCTTACATGGCTTAACAGATTTTGTTGTATTCTCTTCCCCTGTGGCTTATGAGCATCCTGGCAGAGGTTGGCCTGTCACAGAGATTCCCCACATTACCTACAGAGGCGTGCAGCGGCAAGAAACTATACTGTAGTTGTCACCCCAGGAAAATCCTCCTAGCACAAAGCTCAGAAACCGACTTTTACTGTATTATATGTTTGGCAGAACAGTTATTAGAATAGCATATGTTTCCTCTTTCTTTCTCTCTGCGTTGCTATCCCCAGGAGTTTTGGTTTAAAATGTGGAACACTTTTTTTAATCTTTTGAAAACATTTTTTAAATTTTTCCATGAACTGCTGCCAAAGTGCCTTTCAGCAAAGAAAATGACTAACCAGAGTCTCCATGAAAGGAGGATTTTTCCAAAGAAGTCTGCAACAGGGATGGTGATCTCACCTTTTGGACAGGAACCCTCCCCTTGCAAGTTACCCTCTTGCACACACAAACATGTACATTCTTACTTGCACACACTCCTATTGTTCCTTAATAAATATAAGAATTGACTGATGGGAAGGCAATGTTTGTTGCTAGATTTCCACTGATGTCTTGTAAATTATAGGCAAGTTCCATTGGACTGTCTGTCTCAGGACCAAAATAAAACGAAATCATCTTCAAGGCAAACCTCACCCCTGGTGGTTTCATGTACACACCCATACAGTTTTCTTGGCAGTAATGGTTCTCTGTTGCCTTCTTCAGTTTGTTTTACATTCCAGTCTAGTCAACTTCCCAGCCCAGTCTACAGTTCTGGAATTCCTGGTGGTGTCCCATCCAAGGACTTACCAGATTTGAACCTGCTTAGCTTCTGAGCCCAGACAAGGCCATGTTCTGTAACCTCAGAACCAAAACTGATGTTAGTATCTGTAGCGGAATGAGACATAACATACTGCTATTGGATGGCCACTTTCACCAAAAAGATGTCAGTGTTTTTGGAAATAAATCCAAGTGTGTGTCTGCCTGAAATATGAACATTCCATCTGTCAAGAATAGAAAGTAGAAATGCATGCATGTTTGCCTACTCGAGTTTACATGAGAGAGTGGAGTAGAATGGAGTAAACAATGCATCAGCATTAAGAGATTAAACAGCCCAGGAAATTGGAACCTTCTCTTGTCTTTCTCAATCCATGTATAGTATTACACAAGCCAGTTAAGAA